CCCCTTGCAAGCAAGTGCAATCGTCGAACCACCTGAGATTGGTGAAAGGTGGACAAACGAGGGTCTCCTACGAACATTCCTAGGGGTTCGTAGCAAACACAACGGATCCTTACAAACAAACACGAGCCACTTGTGGATAACAACAGTGGGCATATCGTAGGCACTATCAAACCACTGTGGACACAAGTACATCTCCTACGACAATCCCTACGAGGTCAAACAAGTACAATCAAACCGTTCGATATTGGTGAAAGGGTGGATATGATGCAGAAGCAATGGGTCTTCTACAAACATTTCAGGAGGTCGTAGTAGATACAGCAGTCCCTTGCAAATGGATACTTGTGGATAACAACAGTGTATTGAAAGTACAATGAATCACTGTGGACACAAGTACGAATATCACCTACGACAGTGGTGATCAAGAGCTTCAAGTTTGTCGAGTACAAAGGCAGCCCGATGTACGAAAAGGACACCCACTGGCAGAAAGGAGGGAAATGTTTGAACAAATTAGAACCAAACTTCCTGGTGTTCGAAAGTCTCTTCTTAGTTATATATTCGAGAAGAAAACAGTTCTGATGTCTACGAATACCAAAAATGACGGTCTACTACACCAAAGATCCTGAAGGGAGTTCTTCCCAAATCAGCAGTCCTTGACTCCCAAATCCAGAAAATCCTTCCCCGGTGAATGAGAAAGGGGGAGTCAACATCAAAATCCTACGCCACCGGATCTGCAACACTTATACAAGCAGACAGAAGGCGTCTACGATCTACAACTCAACGCCACCGGATCTGCAACACTGGTACAAGCAAACAGAAGGCGTCTACAAATATGTCTAAATCAATATAAAAATCACCCGCATGGGCCCCGACGAGCGTGTTATTGGTACACACGTGACACATAGGGATGCTGCGCGGGTCGATAAGTGAATTCTAGTTCGAACCCAATCCTTCTATATGGATCAATAGAAGTCGACAGGGTTCGGACCTTTAAACGAATACACGGCTGTGGCGACCAGTGTATTTGTTTCAATACATTCGTATTAGGCCTTCAAGGTCTACAATCAAGAAAATTCACAAACAAAGGCATGAAGCCTATGAAACCCGATCCTTGAGCAACAGCTTGCTCGAGTTGACAAGGTCCAATCAACAAAAAGGAAATGACCCCAAACACCCCGATGATGGCTGTGTTGATTGCTTATCTCAACCGGAGGGATCCACAATATATTTCAAAAATGCCCTCAAACCTCTACAAAATCCAAATATTTTTCAAGTGACCTCAAGGTCACCCCGATGATGGCCGTGTTGAATGCAGATCTCAACCGGAGGGGTTCCCCAAATATTTTCAAATATCCCCCAAGTATCCAAAGTTTTATTTCAAATATTCCAAAGCTCCACCCAAAATTCCAAAAATCCCAAATATTCCAAAGCTCCATCCAAATATCCACAAAAATCCAAAAATTCCCAAAATCCAAAACTCCACTAAAAGCCCAAATTCCAAGATATTTAAATTTGAAATAAATCCATCAACGCTTAAAGCAAAATTCATCCACCCTCCGCAACAGTCTGCCGGGGTGGACAAATTCAAATAAACTCTAGCTCAGAAAGAGTCAAATGCCTAGTCGAAAATATCACTAGGATCCATTCTCAA